AGGGTAACAAGAGCGAAACTCCGTCTCAAAAAAAAAAAAAAAAAAAAAAAAAAGATGGGGTTTCACCATGATGGCCAGGCTGGTCTTGAACTCCTGACCTCAGGTGATCCACCCACCTCGGCCTCCCAAAGTGCTGGGATTACAGGCGTGAGCCACTGCGCCTGGCCTATACTGCTTATTTTCATGTGTGTAATAGTTCACAGTCACAATTTTGATTGTAAAACAGTAACGTTCTCTATTTAGAGCAAGCCCGAATTCTACTGGTGGTAGAAAACTTAACTTACACACTCAGGGAAACTCAGACCTACTTCAGTTTGTGTGGGATAAATTCAGAATCTTTCTGGGCTCCTCTCCACACCTTTGAGTGTGTGGAGCCTACAGACTCGGATGCTTAGGCAGGTGCATCCATCTGGCCGAGCCTGAGTCACATGCCTTCACACAATCATTCAGAAACAGAACAGAGGGCTAGGCGCAGTGGCTCACGCCTGTAATCCCAGCACTTTGGGAGGCCGAGGCAGGCAGATCACCTGAGGTCAGGAGTTCAAGACCAACCTAGCCAATATGGTGAAACCCCGTCTTTACTAAAAATACAAAAAATTAACCAGGCGTGGTGATTCGGTCCTGTAGTCTCAGCTACTCAGGAGGCTGAGGTACAGGATTGCTTGAACCTAGGAGGTGGAGGTTGCAGTGAGCCGAGACTGCGCCACTGCACTCCAGCCTGGCAACAGAGAGAGACTCGGTCTCAAAAAAAATTCCAAAAAACAACAATAGAACGAAGGAAATTTCCCACACCCTCAAAACCCCCAAGCTGCCAGAGTTAGACAGGGTCTTTTACATTCAAATAGAGATTCTACCACATGCTGAAAGCCAGAAACCAGCCATTGTCAATTGTTATCTCCATCCTTAAAAGGGGAAATTTTGTTTCTGTCCTAAGTCTGTTTCCCCAGAACATGCTGCACCCCATGACTCAGCCCCTTCTCAGTGTCTAAGCTCTTACATCATTATGAATTATTTCCCAAACTAGTTTACGAAACAAACTATGGTTTAAGCCCTCCCAGGCTTTGGCTCTTCATTGGCAGAGGTTTTCGGAATAAAAAGTCACTGTAATGGCCAGTGGGTGAAAGGCCATGACAACTAGAAAAGTGGAGTAAAGAAAATGGCAGAAAGTCTCCTTATTTTATCCTGTTATGCTTTCTTTACTACTATACTCAGAAAATAAATGGGATGCAGCCAAAGATATAGTTAGAGGAAAATAAGCAGCATGATAAATAGGGACATAGGTTTTTAGTTAGACCTGGGTTCTGCTTTTTTTTTTTTTTTTTTTTGAGATGGAATCTTGCTCTGTGGAAGTACAGTGGTACGATCTTGGCTCACTGCAGCCTCTGCCTCCTGGGCTCAAGCAATTCTCTTGCCTCAGCCTCCCAAGTAGCTGGGATTACAGGTGCATGCCACCATGCCCAGCTAATTTTAGTAGAGACAGGGTTTCACCATGTTGACCAGTCTGGTCTTGAACTCCCAACCTCGTGATCCACTTCGCCCAGCCAAAAAGTCTCTTCTTATCGATATCTGTATCTTAGAATTCTGAATCTTACATGCATAGACTTATAAAAATAGTCTATTACCTAATTTGGGGTCTAGAGGGAGATTCTCCCCTGATGTCTGATATTAAAATTTCCCTAAAATAGCCTGATATATGAAAGATGGTTATTTATTTATTTTATTTTGAGATGAAGTCTTGCTCTGTCACTCAGGCTAGAGTGCTGTGGCAAAATCTTGACTCACTGCAACCTCCACCTCCTGGGTTCAAGCGATTCTTCTACCTCAGCCTGAGTAGCTGGGATTATAGGCGCCCACCACCATGCCCGGCTAATTTTTGTATTTTTAGTAGAGATGGGGTTTCACCATGTTGGCCAGGCTGGTTTCAAACTCCCGTGTTTGTGGCTGCTCAGTGCCATTCCCACTTCCAGCCTTGGCTGTCCAAAGTATGAGATTATGTGTGTGAGCCATTGTGCCCTGCCCCCAATCACTATTCTCAAAGTTTTTATGATTGTATCTCCAGAACAGGATCAGCCTTTAGATCTTTCTTTCCCTTCCTATACCCCCATCCCCACCCCCACCCAAGTACCCTTCTCGTTTCTCTTACTTCCTTTCCAGATCATCAAACATAAACTTCTTTTAAAGAATTTTTTAATTGTTATTACTTTTTAGGGACAGGGTCTTGCTCTGTTTCCCAGGCTGGAGTGCAGTGACATGGTCATAGCTCACTGTAATAACCTTGAACTCCTGGGCTCAACCGATCCTCCTGTCTCAGCCTTCTAAGTAGCTACGACTACAGGTACACACCACCATATTTTTTGAGATGGGTTCTTGCTATGTTGACCAAGTTGGGAACATCTACTTTTCTAATAAAACATCTTGTCAGTCCTGGCTGTTGTCCTATCCTGATGAGAAAAGACCTCTATGATAGACTGTATTATTCAGAATACTTGCTGTCCTTCCCGCAACCCACACATAAACACCATGGGAAGACTGTGCATCCTCACCCTTCAAACTCTGGAGTGGCCCTGTGACATGCTTTGGCCAGTAAAACGTGGGAAGAAATGACAGTGTCACTTCTGAGCACAGACTTCAGGGCCAGCTTGTGGTCCTCTCTGTCTCTTTTCTCCCCTTTGTGAGCATACTGGAAATGGGTCTGGAGTGAAGATAGTATCAGGTGTGGCAGCTGACCCGCAATGGACATGTGAAGGGAACAAAACAGAAGCCTCTGTTGTAAGCTACTGAAGTTTCGGGGACTTAGCCTAAGCTGTACCACTTCCCTGGTCCTCCATCAGCCAGCCCTCCATCTCCATGTTCCCATGGTCTCTCTGCCCCAAGGGTGTCCTGAAACTGGAACATCAGGACAGCACAGTGGGGAGAACTGTCTAGTATGCTCCTGGGTCTTGGAAGGCCTGAAGCTCTCTCTGTCCTAAAGACTGAAAGCTGGGGTCTTTGTGTTTGAGTCTGTGTCACTACCTGCCCTCTGGGCTGACCAACTGTGTCCTAGTTGACCTGCTCTCTCAGGGCCCTTGGCTTGGGATAATAGCACCCCATGACTTCTTTTTTTTTTTGAGACAGGGTCTCACTTTGTCTCAGGTGTGAGACAGGCTGGTGTGCAGTGGTGCAATCTCGGCTCACTGCAACCTCCACCTCCCGGGTTCAAGCGATTCTCCAGCCTCCCGAGTAGATGGGACCACAGGCATGTGCCACCATGCCCAGCTAGTTTCCATGACTTCTTATCCCAGAGCAAAGGACACAGCTCACCCAAGGGTGATCAGTGGTTTCATTTTTGAATGTCGACATTGCTTAGAAGCATGCATGATCATATAAAAATTATTTTTATTAAAATAAAAAAGCTTTCCAGTATATTGCATTGAAGACATTTATACAGAAAAAAGGCAATTGCAACAAACATGCTACATCAGCACTGATATATTCTGAAAGCTTTAAGTGCCCATTTTTCAGCAACATTTTGGTATAATACACAGATCCCTATGTATTTCAGAGGGTACATATAATACTGAAAAAATACTTCATGTAAAATGTAAGTTCATGTGCATATACACAAGAAGTATTACATCAAATAGCTTATTTCAAACTGTGAAACACATTCAAAGTATTCAATTTCTTAGACAACATGCAAACATTTTAATACTGACACTTTTAAATATATAAACCACAATTCTTTATACTTCTATATCAAAAAAGAAAGAACACTTATCTACATTGTACATATCATAAAAAGCAAATGTGTTTTCACGAATGGAAAGTATGGGTTTACGCACATGATTGTCATTTTACAAATATGGCTATTCACCTTCTTCATAATAAAATAGAAATATAAAGTATTATTTACATGAACTACTCATTATTTCACTTTTTGGCAATTATATAAGTAGCAGCAATTGGTTTAAAGATTGATGTTTAAAAACTCTACATTTAACTCGGATGACTATTGAAGAATATATATCTGGTTAATATAAAAACTGCATAATGCAAGATGCTTTGATGCAATGTCACTTCTCCCTTTCATAAAAGTCATAGACACTAATCCATGACTAGTGAGCCTGTTGTTTACAACATATAATTATATGCGTGTCATTTAATCGCTTGCTTTTGCATAACACAGTAGTTGGGGTTTAAATTTCTGTAATATAGTGCAAATTTTCCTAATAATTTAGTTAATAATTTCAAAGATGCTTTATTTATATTTCATATTCTGTAATGGCAGTGGCTGGGACCCCCTAGCTTCTAGATAGAGTAAGTAATTATCTGTAAACAAAGCAAATGCAAAGGGAACCTTAATACTTCAAAATGAACTCTGAAATGAAGTTCATTAACCTGATAGTAAAGTGAGTTATCTTTCTAAAAAGTGGTCATCTGATTTCCCATTGATAAGCTTGTTTTAGAGTGGGGGACCCATCTGATGAGCAAATGTAAATCATACGGCAGTGGTCTACCAGAAAGAGACATCCTCTTTTCATTAGTATTTGTAACAACACATTTTAACATTTGTAAAAACAAAACAAAAATCCTACTAATATTGGCAAATTAAAAAAAAAAATACTGTGTGGTGAATAGAGGTGACATGTGCTTTTCCTTGGCCACTATTCAACTAAAAACCAGCAGTCTTGAATGTCTTTCTCAAGGCAGGAGAGTGAGGTGGAGGAGCATTCTGTGCCTTCCATGGGCAGTCAGTTACACGTCCAGAGCAAGTGCAAGGCAAGGCCCAGGCTGAGGGGAAGGAGGAAGGAGTGGCAAAAAGGTCTGGCTCTGACGCCGGCTGATGGCACACTGCTAGAGACCTGTACCTGGGAAATGATGAGGGCAGAGAGAGGCACATGGGACGCCAAAGTCGGGCTGTCAGAGTTGATAAGGGACTCAATCTTCTCAGCTTCTTTATTGCAGGCTTCAATCTGTGAGGAGAAACAAGATTCTTTTAATATAAAACCACAGTACCCATGAAAAGGTCAAGCCAGAAAATTCCACAAATATCCTAAAAGTAGTGTGGCCTCAGAGAGCATTTACTTTCTCTTTGTCCTTCTGTTCTTATCCGAAGTAACATTTTACTATAGTGTGGTTGCTCATGCCTGTAATCCTAGCACTTTGGGAGGCCAGCGACAGCTTGAACCCGGGGGTTCAAGACTAGCAAGACCCCATCTCAAAGGGCAGGGCAGGGCAGGGCAGGGCGTAATCTGCAATGCCATTATCCTAATCAGTCACTGTTTTTCATTTTCCACTCCTGTTACCCACACCTTTTACTCACATTTAGACTTTATCCTTACATGGTTAAGTAGGGTCACAGGGAATACAATTTCAATGTCCATTGAAACATGAAAATGAAAACAGTCGGACTAGATGAGCTTCCTAGTGATTCACAGACTGCTTGCATTCGTTCCCTTCCCTTGAGCTCTCACTGCCTTTGATGTTGAAACTTGAGTTTACATGAGTGGGGTTCTATATGTCTTTAGACTGATGAAGAAACACTGGAGCCCACAAGACCAGCTCTGATGGGATCTTCCTCTGCAGTGGGCGCACAGCTTTCAGGAGACTGGAGTCTATTCTGGCTTTATCACTGCACGACCTGCACCAGTTCCTTCCCCGGTTTGGGCTTCAGCTGCCTCGTCTGTACAGTCAGTGGACGGTGATTTCTTGGATCTCTTCCAGCTGTGCACACTCCCAGTTGCTGTATTTAGCCCCTCCCCTCCCCTGGCTCCTCTGCATCCTACTGTCAAATGTGTACCAGGTCTCAGCCACTGGCAAAGTGCTCAGTCCTTTAGAGACTGCCTTGTTTTTCTCCCTCTTGCCCCACTAAACTTCCCAAATGCCTCCACTCACTGACCCCCTGATCCTTCCTCGGTCCTGGTTTGTACCCACCCCCTCCTAGGTGCACCAAACTTGAAAGTGACAAGATGGTTTCATGACATTTGCTGAACTCACCTGCAGAGCTTTTGGATAGTGATCGACAGGAATGATCAGGATCACAATTTCTGATTCAATGCTGAAGTATCCAAACACATCACACTGTGGGACAGAAACGTGCATGCGGATTTTTTGAAGTATTTCCAGAACTGTTATTGGCTTTTTATTTGTTACCTGGAAAGAGAAAACATGCTAGTACCTGAAAAAAAGAAGAATTCCTATGGCGGCCAGCTGAGGAGGCTCTTTTGATTACAGAAGCCCCAGGGGAAGGCCCCGCCACAGCTTTGCTAGGCCAAATTCTGAGTGTCCAGTCCATCACAATGGGCTTTGGCCTGACTGAGGTGCTCTATAGTGAAGATAAATACTCTCACCAGAAACATTTTTAAAAAAGTGACTGTTCTGAGGTAGAGAGGCCACAGGGTTTTTAAAAATACAGATGTCGTAATCAAAATGGGGATAAATCTCTAGGTTGTGGCAAGTGTTGGGCGCACCATTTCTGGAGCCCTGTGATGGTATAGAAAAGAAAAAAGGGGCAGAACTATGCAGGGAACAGGCAGGGCTCTAGAGGGTGCTCTCAGGAGGCACAGTGACTGGTGTGAGGGGAGGTGACCTCGAAGCCACCTGGGCACCCACCAGTCTGGCTACCTGGGTCTGCCTGCAGCCCCACCTATGCTTACTGTACCTGCAGGGACCTTTTCTAAGAAAGGATCAGGCTGACTGTGATGTGCACAGCCAGAGTGCAGAGGGGAGGAACGTGGGCTTTGGAGTCAGACAGTCTGGGTGCAAACCCTCGTCCTGCTGATTATGGGCTATATGGCCCTGGGAAAGCTGCTTTTCTGAAGATTAGTTTCTCTATCTATGAATGGGGACAACACATTCTACTCTCTAGGATTACTAAGAGGCTTAGCAATAATGTTTCAACAGCATCTGCATATAAAACAATTTACCTTAGCAATAGTATCCAGTTTTTCTTTGTCAAATAAAACTCTTAACATCCCAGCACATAATGGGCAACAAGCACCTGCATAACAGAAACCATTTTATGTGTGTTCAGAATTAGAAACAAAGAGAATTCAAAATCCTTAGTGAAATGTCCAGCCCTTCATTTTAGGTGGGAGAGTTACAGTGTCCTTCCCAAAGACTGTACCTTGACCAACCTGGGGTCCTCTCATCTCTACGTTTACCAAAATCCTTCCTCTACTCTTGCTTTCATCCTTCACCACTCCTCGGAGTGAGGAGGCCGTGGTGCAGATAGCACAGAGAGAGCTGGCCTTTCAAGAGACCTGGGGCCTGATCCTGCTCTGCCTCAAAACTCACTGCGTGATTCTGGGCAAATGCTTCTGCCAGGCCTTGTTTTGCTGACTGCAAAATAAGGGAGTTGGTGTTTCAGGGGTTCCATGAGTGTTTGATTTAACTTTAATTTTAAAAATCATTTTAAACCTTTAAAACCTATAAGAAAATATGGCACAATCAAATGTAAAATTATGCTGTATTTTGACAAAACAGAGATTTAACCAGTCTATTAGCAGTCCCTCTGCTCTGGGCCCCTCAGATTCCCCTTCATTTCGCGTCATCGTACTTGCTGCCAACTGGTTTAGTGCGGATTTGCATGGTAAGCTGTGTTTGGTCTGTCACCTCCCTCAGAACATGGTCTCCAGGAGGAAAAGGGCTTTGTTTTGCTCACTGTTGTATCCCCAGTGCTCAGAGGAGTGTCTGGCACATAGTGGAAGCTAAGTAAACATTTGATGAATAATGAATGGAGGAATGAACCTGTTAGACTCCAGATTAACTTGTTCTGTGCAGACTTGGAATAAAGTCTCTTCTGCTACTTCTGTTTGACTGATGAGTGTGAGATTATGAGGTAAGCTGTTTAAAAAAACTGTTACTGCCTAAAACTGTCTGAATAAAACAAGACTTTTCTGATTATATGCAACTAAAACAATTAAGTTAGATGCTAAGGCCGATCTAAGACAACAACAATCTTCTATTTCTCTCAATTTCAAATGTTTGTGTTCATCAAAACTATTTTAATTATTCATTAATTAGCAATTCATTATTCATTGACTTTGTAATAAACATGCACTTAAATTAATAATCCTAAATTTTCATAATTAGATACTGCTTTATCTGTTTATATATTGGTGTTTAGTGTAAGATTTAGCTTGAGAAAAGGCTGCTGTATTGTTTTAAAATAGCAGGATACCAGATGATATCTAAGGCAATCCCCAGTTTTTTAAGATCAACCCAAAGTAATGAGTATGATCAGCATAAAAATTTCTTCAAGACTTTTTGAAAAACTTAAATGAACTAGTCAGCTCTCTTCTCAGTGAGTCACTCTCTGGAGGCAGATAAGCAAATCTTCCCAGTCCTCCCCTGTCCACCAGGATACACCAGCCTACCTGGTGGGATGATGGGTTTGCATCCAGCTGCTGAGAGCAAAGGACACTTGACAGCGGCACACTCGGTGACAGAGCTGTGCTCTGAGAGGACCCCAACAGCCTGGCAGTCCCCATAGTAATCGACCGCCACGCGATCTGAGTAGGCAGCACATACGCTGCTATAGGTCTCACCATTGTGCCCACAGACAGGCTCGGTCTCTCTGCAGAAGGTCTGAGGGCAAACAAATCACATTTAGCTTGGAAATGTCTATGGTGGACTTTTCCAAGAGTATACAACACGCCTCCCTATTTTCAGGAAGGAGAAAAGGCACAGATATAAATTATGGGGACCTCTTAAGCTCCTGAGGTGGGCTAAATGGGGGTGGGGTGGGGAGCAATATGGGTGTCTCAAGATGAACTAAAAGATTACTTTTCTCAGCCTCTCTGGGACCTGGGTGCTCATTCCAGGTGGACTGATAAGAGATAAAAATCTCCTTTCCTGCCAGGTCTCTTGGCTCTGCCCAGACTTCTATTAGTATCCCAGAAGTGCCTCTTTGAACACATGCTGAATCTTCATGCAAGTGCAGAGGTCTTATCATTTCATGCTGGGTATGAGATAAGGAGACGAAGGAGTGGAGGGATCAGTGAGGTAGACAGACTTCGGAGCCAACAGTAGGTCAGAAATAGATCAGAGAAAAATCACAGCCAGGAGGAGGGAACAAGTAAAAGACTGAGAATTCAGAATAGACAGGATCAATGCAAACACCATAGAAGCTCTGAGAGAAACAAGCATGTTTCAGAGAGACATCATGACGGAATTTTTCTAAACGTGAAGACCACAGAATGTGAACCAATTATGTCAAGTGTTTGCTGGTTGTGGTCAGGGGATGCTAGGCCCAAAGTGGGGCCCCAGGGAGAGGGGCAAGCATAAAATCAGTGGTGCATGTGAGAAGCCTCGAAAGGAATTGTCCTTGGTTTTTTTTCTTAAAACATAAATGCAGATTCCACAAACCTAAAAGACTGAGAGCTAAGCTGATGTAAAAAGACATTAAGCCTTAGAGAAAATTTCAATCACTTTTCAGTACCTGAAAAGTGGTGGGCTGATGTGGGAAGAGGGAGCAAACTTTTCTTGGTTTGAACTCACATTCTTTCTGCTTTGTTTCTTAGTGAGGGCCCAGAGAACTATGGGAAGTGAGAATGGTGCTGACCATGCCAGGGGTGTGAAACTTCAAGTTCTTTTCCTAGGAGTGGGCTACAAGAAGCCACTCTCTGTTCTTGCTTGTACACTAGATGTGCAAAGGTACACACGCTAGCAAAACAGCTTCCAGAGTTAGGAGAAGGGGCCAGTCCTCCTTTCTAGTAGAGGATTGGGTGCTACAGATTTGACAGGATTCACAGAAGACCCTCAACTGGTCTTATTGTTGATTCATCTGTAAAAGATCATAAACCAATTTTATCCCTAACGTACTTTGTTTTGTCAGCCAAACCACTGTACCTGGCAGGGGCCTTTGTAGGAGAGGCTTTTTCCTCTTTGGTATAAAGTGCAGAGATTGCTGTGCTCCATATGGTCTGTGTCACAAACAGGATCTCGGACCTGGTCACACGCAAGCTGTCTTGGTACACATTCATATTGGCTACATCCAAATTTATCAAAAGTCGTCAGGCAGACCTGTGGTTTGGGTATGCACCTGAAAAAGATGAATGCAGCACCATGAGCCAATGTAGGGAGGGACTGTGGTGGGGCTGGCAAAGCACTAGATGAGGCATAGGAGGCTGAAGAGAGCGCAAGAGATGAATCGGGGCAGTTCTGTCTCCAAAGAGCTTACGTAGAGTGGAAGAGTCGAGCCTGTGTATAAACTAGGCTAAACGGTAGAAAAGATGTGCACAAAGCTTGCAGGGATGAGTCATTCTCATTTGAGGAGCCTGAAGAAAGCATGGGGAAGTGGCGGTGTTCTAGCTGGAGTCTGGGGGGTGAAGGAGGAGACATGGGCTTGCCAGGCTGAGGGAGCCATGAACAGAGGTGTAATGCTCAAGGAATGTGGTGCTGGGGAAATGGCAGGTGACTCCGAGGGCAGAAGCCGAGGATGCATACACAGGGTAGAAGGGCCATGATATGAGGCCAACAGGCTGGAGTCTGTGGCTGGAGGCCTTGTATTCAATAACAAATGAAATATTTCCAGGGTCTTCACTTTCAGCTTGGCTAATATGAGTCTATCTTAAGAAAAGGCCTCACTCTATGTCCTAAAATAATTCAGGTTTTTGTGCCTACAAGACTAAAGAGCTGATACTGGCTGGTTGCAAATGACCGAGAGAATGCCACCATGAAGCAGGTTTTGCCTAGTAATATGTGGACCTTGCTTCATTCTCAATTCCTAAACTCTTTCAGAGGGGTTAGGAATGATGGCTCTTTTCTTCTTTAGGCCTTTTTTCTGCTTTCCTGATTTTTATAAAGGGTTTACATCAATTCCTATAAGAAGATAAGACCCATGAAAATGTTTAGCTTTCACTGGTTTTTTTTTAAGTACTAAGATATATAAATATTAGTTTATCAAATAAAAGAGGAAGAATATAGTAGCGAACATTATTTTAGTTTCAAAGGAAATTACTTATGCTCTTTTTAGGGCCAATGTCCTGCACCGGAATCACTACCACCAACACTATGCATGGTTCCCTTTTCTGAAATGGTTTGAAATAACAATGCACTTGGTTATGGTTTTATGGAAATTTAAAATATCTGAAGAGAAATAATACAAAGTAATATTTAGACTTTGTTACCTATTAACATGCAAGGGATGAGAAACAGGAATATCAGAAGAAATTTGGTAATTTTGAGAGGAAAAAGCTTGATCAATTTGAGTATATAGAATTAAGAAGATCAGGCCAGGCATGGTGGCTCACGCCTATAATCCCAGTACTTTGGGAGGCCGAGGTGGGTGGATCACCTGAGGTCAGGAGTTCGAGACTAGCCTGACCAACATGGTGAAACCCCATCTCAGAAAAAAATAGAATTAAGACGATCATTTAAAAAGTTTGGCAGTCTGGGGGCAAATGAAGGTAAACGTGAGCAGGGCAGAGACCTGATCTGCCTTGCTTGTTGTTATGTACTAACATTTAGAAAAATGCCTGGAACATCAGTAGATACTTGATGAATGAATATAATTATTATTTTTTAAAACAATGTATTATTATTATTATTTGAGGCAGAGTCTTGCTCTGTCACCCGGACTGGAGTGCAGGGGTATGATCTCAGCTCACTGTAACCTCTGCCTCCTAGATTCAAGTGACACTCCTGCCTCCGCCTCCTGAGTAGCTGGGATTACAGGTGTGCACCACCACACCCAACTAATTTTTGTATTTTTAGTAGATACGGGGTTTTGCCATGTGGGTCAAGCTGGTCTCCAACTCCTGGCCTCAAATGATCCACCCACCTCACTTCCCAAAGTACTGGGATTACAGGAATGAGCCACTGTGCTCAGCCACAATTAATTATGTTTTGAACAGATATTATAAGCTCATGGTGAAAATGAAAAACTACAACATGGTATGGAGTGAAAAATAGGCCTCCTTTCTACTCTTGTGTCCCAAAAACCTAATTCCCCTCCCTAGAGAAACCACTATTACCAACTTGTTTCTTTTTTCTTTTTTTTTTTTTTTGAGATGAAGTCTTGCTCTGTCGCCCAGGTTAGAGTGCAGTGGCACCATCTCGGCTCACTGCTGCCTCCGTCTCCCGGGTTCAAGCTATTCTCCTGCCTCAGCCTCCCAAGTAGCTGGGACTACAGGCAGGAGCCACCATGCCCTCCTAATTTTTGGTAGAGACAGGGTTTCACCATGTTGCTCAGGCTGGTCTCAAACTCTTGAGCTCAAGCAACCTGCCTGCCTCGGCTTCCCAAAGTGCTGGGATTAACAGGCATGAGCTACCACTTTCTTATTTATCCTTCCAGATATATTTTATGTAATGATAAGCATTTATATGCACCAATCCAGAGGGTATGTGCATTTCAAACTGAAAGTTTGGCCAAAGTGCCCTCCACAAAGTAGGCACCAGTCCTCCTCCAGCCTCCTCTTGTATGAAAGTAGCAATTTCCCTATATTATGTTATCAAACTTCAGCTTTGCCAGTATGATAGATGGAAAGTGGTACACAATTATGGTTTTAATTTAATTTACATTTCTCTTAATATGAGGAAGGTTAAGCATTGTGGCAGATTGGCTAGATGTTTATCAAATTTACTTCATTTTCTTCCTAGGTATATATGTAAATTACATCTCCTAGTCTCCTGGAAGTTCATTATGGCCAACTGACTGAGTTCTAGACAATGGAATGTGGCTGGATGTAGTGATGAATGCTACTTTTATATGTGGTCTATTAAAGCTTTTTAAGAGCAGTCCCCACGATCTCCCTCCTCTTATCTGCTATCCAGATGTAGAAGACTCAGAAGAGGACTATGAGACTGTAGGAGAAGGCAGAGTCACTATACGGAAGGATCTCACGTCTCTGAATGACCGCATGGAAAACTGCCTGCTGGACAAACAAGTGGGCTCTAAGTAATCAACTACTCTGAGAAATTACTGATATTTTGGAATTTGTATACAGTAGCTAGAATTACTTACCCTAACAAATAAAAGTACCTTTTCAAATGTTTAAGAACGATTTGGATTTCCTTTTTTATGTTTATGTCCTTGGTCCATTTTTTCTATTAGGCTATTGATCTCTGTCCATTTTGATATTAGGTTGATCTTTCTCAAATTGATTTGCAGGGGCTCTTTACATTACAAGGACATCAGCACTTTCTCTGCGATATTCCTTCCAGTGTGTCATTTGTCTGTTATCATGCAGAAAATTTTAAGGTTCATGTAGCTGAATTTTTCATTCTTGTATATACTAAGGAAGGCATTCCTATTTTGACATTTATTTTTATTGTTCTATTATGAAGGCAAGACAACCTTATTCAGAAAGACTAGCCAATGGAAAAAACAAATGAACAAATATTAAAACAATCCTCAATTCTACCTCCCAACACAACCTGTATTATTCTTTCAGCTTATTTGTTTATTTGCATTGCATCCTGTCTTCTTTCCATAGAAACTTTCTTGGATTAGTTTCATTGCATAAACTTTGGCAGATGGATGACCAATTATTTGCCATTTCTTTTTTGAGAAGGAGTCTCACTCTGCTGCCCAGGCTGGAGTGCAATGATGTGGTCTCACCTCATTGCAACATCCACCTCCCCGGTTCAAGCGATTCTCCTGTTTCAGTCTCCTGAGTTGCTGGGATTACAGGCACCCGCTACCATGCCTGGCTAACTTTTGTATCTGCAGTAGAGACGGGGTTTCACCATGTTGGCCAGGCTAGTCTAGAACTCCTGATCCTCCCGCCTCGACCTCCCAAAGTGTGGGATTATAGGTGTGAGCCACTGTGCCCAGCTGCCATTTCTTTTAACACATGAGAAAGTCTCCCCCTCCCTCCACATTACACCAGGGTTTTCAGGATGGAGAAGCAGTGATTGCTTATTCTCCACAAAACCCTTCATAAGGAAAGCACTGTGGTATTGGAATGTGTACTGTTCAGGTCATTCAGGCAAGCCACTTTACACTCTGGTTCCAGATGGCTGCAACCTAAGTGTCAGCCAGACACCTGCCCTGGTGGTTGCCACATATAGAAATCCATCATTAAGGCTGGGTCAAATGTCTTCTGAGCTCAAGTGAGGAAACAGTAGAGAAAGGAGCTCAAAACAAATAATTTCAAATAGCAGTGAAGTTGCATTTCCGGAGATTTCTCATGTCCAATTTCTAAAATGGATGTATACGACTAGAAGCAAATTTTCCTTGACTATCAGGTTTAGACAGCTACTAATAGGAATACACCCATTTCTTTCATCTCCTCTGCTACCTCTCCGCATGTTACATTTTCTGTTTCAGTCTTACAGAACTGCTTTAGTGCCCAACAGACAACGTGTTATGGAGATAACATTTCCAGCAGCTCTTGCTTCTGTTAGTCTGCCTTCACCAATACTACCTTTTCTCTACTGCAAACCTTGCCTGTGATCTCTTACTCACTTTTTTTTTTTTTTTTTTTTTTGAGACAGAGTTTCACTCATGTTATCCAGGCTGGAGTGCAATGGCGCGATCTCGGCTCACCGCAACCTCCGCCTCCTGGGTTCAGGCAATTCTCCTGCCTCAGCCTCCTGAGTAGCTGGGATTACAGGCATGCACCACCATGCCCAGCTAATTTTTTGTATTTTTAGTAGAGACGGGGTTTCACCATGTTGACCAGGATGGTCTCGATCTCTTGACCTCGTGATCCACCCGCCTTGGCCTCCCAAAGTGCTGGGATTACAGGCTTGAGCCACTGTGCCCGGCCCTCTTACTCATCTTTCTAGATTCAGCTAGGTATCACCTCTAGAGGCTCCCCCAGGCCCTTCCCCAGGTTGCATTAACAGCCCTACTTCTGGGCTCCCAACTGCAGCACCTTATCAAGCAGCTTTACATGGCTCTCTTTCCCTCCAGACTCGAAACTCTTCAGGGTAGAGATGACTTCTTAATTTACCTTTGGGTTTTCATTGTCTAGTATATGGTAGATGCTTTGTAAGTACTGGCCTTCAGTTGAATAAAATAAGAAGCCATTCACTTACCTTTGGTTTTTTTGGCAGGGATTAGGATTACATGGATCCTTTGACATGCATGATCCAAACTCAAACTGATGGTCTTGGAGGCCCACACAGCGAGCAATGCAGGCACTGGGGTAAGTGCGCCCATTCTGCCCACACACGGGGACAAACTGATCTGCACAGTTACAGGGCAGACCTGAAGAGAGGAAACAGCCTCAAAAATATGTATGTGTATATTCCCCTCCCCTCATACTTCCTCGTTAAGGCAAACCATAAGCAATCATGCGAAGGTCTCATGTTAAAATAGAATTGTAACTTAAGTCAGGAAAAACCTTCTCTCTGATCTCTGACAGGGGTTTTAAAGGCAGGAATGCTCTGATTAGCTCTTGTCTGCAAAATGGCTTTCCTTTGTCCTTTTTATTGCCAGCTAGTTGAGAACCTTTAGACCTTGATACCAGGTAGAAACGCCTATTAACAAGGCTATAGGTCGGGAAAGTAAAGACTGTTTCTCCTGATTTTAGAATTTAGATGTTTGAAGTCTCGTGTGGGGATTTCTTCAATGTTAAAGGCTAATACCAAACGTAAGAAAGAGTGAAGGTTGTAGGTTCCTTCCACTCTCATGTTCAAGATGGTAACTTAGAAAATTATTATAATTTTAAGACTTACAAATGTTTATGAACATCTTTCTCAGAGTCACATTTGGAGTGGGACACTGGGTCCCAAGAAATGTGGCACAGTTTTGGGTCAGTAAAATTTCCTTAGTCTGCTCGATCAAGTCATTGACTTGGTTTATCCCAGGACACCAGGGGCCACACACGATAGGAAACAAGGGTCTTGCTAGTTGTAATGCTCAACTTCTAAAAACATACTTAGCTTATTCTTTATCCCCATATCCCTCTATGGTTTCTCTAAGCAGAATTAATTGCCCTTACTTGAGCAGGGCAAAGGATAATAATAAAGGATGATGATAATAAAGCAGTGAAGGCTGGGGTAGAGTTAGTACTACCCTCTGCTTCTTCACCAGTCTGACATTCACTTCTTATTTCTGATCCCCTTTTCATGTCCAACAGGCTGGAGCACAAGGTTGGTAAATCCTTACTCTCCTCTCCTCCACTTCTTCTCCACCCAGTCCCCACCCCTCTCCACATGTAATACTAATTCTGGGGAAACAGGAATCAAGTTGCCACTGCAGCAGCAGGAAATGGGGCAAGGGTAGCTACCTAGTAACTTTTTGCCCAGAACCAAAGGTATTTTAGATCTAGGAAAAAGCAGATACCAAGAGATACCAGCAGACTGTGCTGTTGCTGTTGGCAACAATAGCTTCACAAGAGGAAAGCATCCCATCTTTCCATCCCATAAGTAGCCTTTTCACTTACTTATGTTGGTGTAAGAATAATAAGAGCAGCAAAGCATAGGAAAATCAAGAAAGTAATATTCTGGGATATTATTGTTTGTGGGAGTTTAGATGAACAAGTAAGCTAAGGTAGGCTGAGGAAGAAGGTGCTGAGAAACAAACTGAGAATATACATGGACATTTTAGATCATACCAGTAGGGGTAAATGGGGCATTTTACCAGGTAGAAACATTCAATTTAATTAAACCCATTCCAATCACTGGCCTTGTTCTTTTTGACTCATGAATTTCCAGAATATTACGGAATATTTGCTAAGGGCCCTAAAACACCATTTAGTGTATAATACCTTCAATTCATAGAGGAAGAAACTGAGATCCAGAGAGGAAAAACATCTTGCCCTTAGATTCTCTATTTATTTTATTGTGTACATTTGCAGTTAAGACTGGAGAAGCTGCCTTGAAAACAAAAATGTGTGCAAAGAAATGATGGCCCCTGAGGACAGACTCTGGGCGATCGCAGTCACCTGTGAAGGTACGATGGTCATCTTCTGAACTGTGCTCACTGAGGCAAAGGCGGGTAGAACACACCAAATTGCCAGCAAAACAAGAACAGACATTGCAGTCAATACTAAAGGATGTTCCATGACCTGAGAGAAAGAGAAAGAGAATGTTGATCTATATCATACGTTGAGAAATAGTGCACATATTACAATTTTTTTTTTTTTTTTTTTGAGACAGGGTCTCATTCTATTGCCCAGACTGGAGTGCACTGGCATGATCCCGACTTATGGCAACCTCCACTTCCCAGGCTCAGGTGATCCTCCCACCTCAGCTTCCCAAGTAGCTGGGACTACAGGTGTACACCACCACATCTGGATATTTTTTGTAGAGATGGGGTTTCACCATGTTGCCCAGGATGGTTTTGAACACCTAGGCTCATGCCATATGTCTGCCTTGGCCTCCCGGAGTGCTGGGATTACAAGCATGAGCCACTGTGCCCAGCCAGAAATTCTCGAAAGATGACTTCTGAATATACCAACTAGAGTAAATTCTGTGGTATTTATATTTTCATATTTGCCTCCCACCATATTCCTCCAAGGCCCTAAAGTGCTGGACTTACCAGGCTGTTCCCTATCCTCTAAGAAAGTGTCCAGCTGCCCCTTCTGCTTTGAATGCTAATCTCTTCAGGGGCAGATCTGATGCCATCTTTGGATCAAAGACTCTTCTGATGCCCTGGCAGGAATGCCTAGCTCCCAGAAGAGCACTTGGTCTGCAACTTTTTTTGGCTCAAATTCTCTCATCTTATCACGTAAAGCATGATCTCATCCCCATCCCAGATTCAGTTCCATAAGGCACTGGTATGCTCTTTTGTACAGAATAGGCATTTAGTCAGTCAAATGTTACAGAAGGAATGAATCTGTCCTGATATTTTCTGTGATACAAAGTATCTACCTTTATAGTTTAGTCAAGCGGAATATGGATTAAGAGATAAATACCTGACTTGCTCTAAGGCAGAAATTTGAGAGCGAATTTTAGCTAAGAGCACTCTTCTTTTTCAACAAAAGATTAAACCAAAAAGAATATAAAAGCTGAACTACTACGGCTGAAGGGGTAGAGGATGGGAGTAGAAATGGGGTAGCAGAGTGAGCACGCAGGGAGGGAACAGATCCGCAAAAGTGGTGTTTTTTCACAACTGTTTGAAGTTATATATATATATGTGTATCTATATATACATACATATTTGAGACGTAGTCTCACTTTGTCACCCAGGTTGGAGTGCAGTGGCGCAATCTCGGCTCACTGCAACCTCTGCCTCCCGGGTTCAAGCGATTCTCCCACCTCAGCCTCCTGAGTAGCTGGGATTACAGGCACGCATCACCATACTTTAATTAATTGTTGTATTTTTAGTAGAGATGGGGTTTCACCATGTTTGTCACGCTGGCTCGAACTCCTGACCTCGTGATCCACCTGCCTTGGCCTCCCAAAGTGCTGGGATTAGAGGTATGAGCCACCATGCCAGGCCCTGAAGTCATATATTGACATGAACGATTGTTCGGGCTATTAACAAAAGACAGTTAAGGAAGGAGTGGAGCCTAAGATTTTTAGGGAAGGTGGTCAAAGGGAGGCACTTTTTAATGTACTTTTTCCCAAACTCCTAACAGTGTAATTCCTATACAGTACCTATTTGCTCTCCAAGATGTCAAAATTCGAGTTTCACTTCTGGTGAAGTGAGGATGGGGTGGGGTATGCCTGAGGACAGGGTTGGGGGAAGATTACCTGTGTCTTTGCCTGTGAAGGGTAAGGGATTTGGAGTCAACTAGACCTGGAGCAGAGTCCAGCTTTGGTCATTTGCCAGCTGGGTGATCTCTTTAAGCATCAACTTCCTCATCTATGCAGTAAGGGTAATACAGGTATTATTATTACCTATATGAAAGAGTAACTTGGAGGTTTTAATGAGATAATATAAGGCAAGACTTAGCATTGTGTTCAGCTCATAATTAGAATTCAATAAATATTATTAGCCATTAGCCCCTTCTTGAGGGGACTTCTAAAAGGGTTCCTTAGAAGTCCTAGTGCTCTGTACAGTTTGAAAAATACTGCCCTGGAGTATCTGATATACAGACCTTACTCTTTGGTGAGAATCTATCCAATATTCTTCCTATGAAGTAAAAATAACTAATCTCATATTAAAAGCAAAAACAGAGGTCAAGACTCACTTTTTCTTTTTCCTCCAACAATACAAGACTTCTGGAGGTCTATACAGTGCATTTCCATACAGTTTTCTAAGAGTCCACTTTGTCCACATGAACAGATTTTGTAACAACCAACTTCCCCTGCAGATGATGGCACCTGGATTAGTGTCCCTTGACGTACAATGAAATCAGAAGCTTCTCCCAGTTTGCAACCTGTACAAACAAAAATTAGCTGAGAGAAATGGTACTGTTCGATGACATTGTTTTAACACATTAGATATATACCTGACAAAAGTCTTATAGGTACTAAATCACTATTAAAGGTTATGTAATAGAACTTTCACCAAATTAAGGAATTGGTTTAGCTCACTGGCCAAAAACCCTCTCAAATGAAAATTCCATGTTCTGGAGGACGGTGGTGATTAAAGATCTATATCCCAAAGTTACCTATCATTCAGTACAAAAGTGCTGTAAGATATGTAGCTTTTTATTTTTGGGGGTAGTCAAAAATATTTTAAAGTCACAGATATTTTTAAAAAATGGAATAGGGAAACTGACAGTATTTTTTTTTTTTTTTGAGACAGTCTCACTCTGTCATCCATGCTGGAATGCAGTGGCATGATCTTGGCTCACTGCAACCTCCCCGCAACAAGGTCAAGCGATTCTTCTGCCCCAGCCTCTCTCCTGTAGCTGGGACTACAGATGCCCAACACCATGCCTGGCTAATTTTTGTATTTTTAGTAGAGATGGGGTTTCACCATATTGGCCAGGTTGGTCTCAAACTCCTGACCTCGTGACCCACCTGCCTCAGCCTCCCAAAGTGCTGGGATTACAGGCATGAGCCACCCCACCCAGCCAGTATTTTTAGAATAATATTGTTCAGAAAAACTTTTAGTGATGGTAAACAAGTATACCTTAAATTCAAGGAAAAACTGAATATTTGGGTGGGCTTAGGGAAAATCCATTTTCTATCTTATTATATGATGGGCTTTCTGAGTTTAACAAAAACGAGAATTCTGAATGGAATTCTATATTTAAACAACATGAAATACAGATGTCACCATTTTATTTTATTTTATTTGTTTATTTTTTTGAGACGGAGTTTCACTCATGTTACCCAGGCTGGAGTGCAATGGCACGATCTCGGCTCACCGCCACCTCCGCCTCCTGGGTTCAGGCAATTCTCCTGCCTCAGCCTCCTGAGTAGCTGGGATTACAGGCACGCACCACCATGCCCAGCTAATTTTTTGTATTTTTAGTAGAGACGGGGTTTCACCATGTTGACCAGGATGGTCTCGATCTCTTGACCTCGTGATCCACCCGCCTCGGCCTCCCAAAGTGCTGGGATTACAGGCTTGAGCCACCGTGCCCGGCCTAGATGTCACCATTTTAAATAATTATATTTTATTTTCTTGCCAAAGAAAATATCTGACTAAATTATAATATAACAGTAAATGAACAGAAAGTACTATCCTGAAATTTAAAACAGTCCAACATTTCCAATTTTGACAAGATTTATTATGACTCTATAGCTGATATATATAGTATTACACATATATTATAGATGATTCTTTGAGATATCATGCTTATTTCATCTTTTGCTTTATTTTACTTTAAAAATATCTGAAGACTGGGCATGATGGCTTATGCCTGTAATCCCAGCACTTTGGGAGGCTGAGGTGGGTGGATCACCTAAGGTCAGGAGTTTGAGACCAGCCTGGCCAATGTGGTAAAACCTTGTCTCTACTAAAAATACAAAAATTAGCATGGTGGCAGGCACCTGTAATCCCAGCTACTCAGGAGTCTGAGTCAGGAGAATCGCTTGAGACTGTGAGGTGGAGGTTGTAGTGAGCTGATACAGTGCCATTACGCTCTAGCCTGGCTGACAAGAGGGAAACTCTGTCTCAAAAAAAAAAAAAATTTTTTTTTAAATCTTGATTCTGACATGATAAACATTCTCAATTGGGAAATAGATAAAGGAAGCAAAATGTTGCAACAACTATATCCTAAAGGGATTGACAGAAAGCTAAAGACTATCAAAATTCTATGGGATAAAAATCCTTCAGCCTTAAAGTTATATACATTTCAACATAACATTAATCTTTATGGAGATAGCTATACATTCTATTGAATATGCTATTTTTCTATATACTAAAGGAAAGAAAATAAAAAACATGAACAATGTAATGTATATTTTCTAAAACATTACAATACAGAAGAGAAAGTACAAAAAGCTGGTCCAAGCTTCTTTTCTTTCATAGTCTAGAACCCTATAACTCATTATGGGAGTCAAGTTTTAGATTATTATTAGTTTACAATTTAAATAACAACTGAAAATTACAAGCATGTCTTTTTCTGCTTATATCAATAATACATGTTTAATGAGAAAATATCAAACATTATAGAAAAATATAATATAGAACATAAAGTCCCTTGCAATCTCACTCCAAAGAGAACTCTTATATTACAGAAGGAGCAGAATTAAAAAAAAAAAAGATAGTTCCTACAAAGAAACACTAGCAGCACCTTTCCATCCTCTTCTTACACCCACTGACCTCTTACCTTGAACACAAGAGTATGGAAGACAGGGATCTCCAGATAGACATCCTTTTCGGTTTACTTCACAGAGCTCATTGGCAGGGCAAGGATTTGGGTTACAGGGATGAGTCACTTCTTCTACAATGTTACCTAAAGTACTTGGTCCTGAAAAAAACAAAACAGATTAGTTTAACCAACCTAAAAGAGTAAGAGATCTGTAAATTATCTGAATTAATTATGGCTGGAATAAATGAAGAGCTCATGAGCATAAAAGAAGGCCTGATTTTACCAAGCTATTAAAACACCGAGATTCTTTCATTTGTGAAATGATGAATTTAGCATAAACATACATTCATTCATTTTTTAAATTATTGGAATCTACAATATTTCAGGCAAGGTTCTAGGCGCTGGAGATAAGGTGATGAACAAAATAGACAAGTCTCTAACATAGAGTTTACATCTAGTAGAGAAACAGACAATAAATATACTATGTATGAGCCAGGCACAGTGTGGCTCATGCTTGTAATCCCAGCACTTTGGGAGGCTGAGGCAGGCAAATCACCTAAGGCCAGTTTGAGAACAGCCTGGCCAACATGGTGAAATCCCGTCTCTACTAAAATAGGCAGGGGTTGCAGTAAGCCGATATCACACCACTGCACTCCAGCTTGGGAGACAGAGCGAGACTCTGTCTTAAAACAAAAACCAAAACAAAAAAACAAAACCCAAAAAAAAAATAAATCGAAATGGTGGTGTGTGCCAGCTACTAGGGAGACTGAGGCAGGAGAATTGCTTGAACCTGGGAAACAGAGGCTGCAGTGAGCCGAGATTGTGCCATTGCACTCTAGCCTGGGTCACAGAGTGAGACTCTGTCTCAAAAAAAAAGAAAAAGAAAAAGAAAAAAAATGCTATGTATGTATATGTGTATATAGAAATAAATAAGAAAATTATAAGTAATAGTGTCAGAGGATAGAGGTGACAGGTATATTTTAGATAGGAGCTTATGTCTAAGTGCTTATGTCTAAGAGGGATAATTTAGCATATTTTACCATAAATGATAATTTATTATGGTAATATGTATGGACTCCAAACCATGATTATATTTAACTTCTGAAATCATGGCCAAGGAAGAGTCTCACTTGATATAAAGTATGTGTGTTATTTAGATATTTAATTTTCCTCTCATTGATATAGTTTCCTTCTACACAAATATTTGACTGCTATAATAGAATCTAGAATTATAAATACATTAAGTGTTGCTTACTTGATTTTAGGCCAGACTCAGACTCTAAGACTAACAGAGAGGGCCCTTGGAGTTCATCTTATCTTGCCTAATTATTTCATAAATAGGGAAGCTGAGGCTCAAAGAAGTGTTGTGCTCAAAGTCATGAAGGTCTGAATTCCAGTCTAATGCTCTCTTTTTTGCAATATTGGTCACAAAGGTTAAGGGACACAGTTTGTTGGTCTTGAGAAAATATGGCATTTACTACCAGCTACAAATCTAGCACATGCTTTTCTCTCCCTGGTTACTAAAAGATCTCCAATTTTAGGGTGGCAATGGGCCCAAGTTAAAAAAATAACCTTTCTCAGTTTTCCTTACAACTAGGGGTGGACAGTGTGATTAGGGAGAAGTTGTTTGCTCTCTCCCTTTCTTTTTACCATCTGGAACTAGAATATTAGAATATGGTAGCTAGAACTATGAGAGCCATGTTGTGATGACAAAGTACATTAAGTTATCTTGATAACTGAAGCTAAATGCTAAGGATGGTGGAGAAAGATAAAGGAGCCTGGATTCCTGATGATGAAGCCCTGGACTATTTGTTTCTGGGCTTTCATTTTTTTTTTTTTTTTTTTTTTTGAGACGGAGTCTTGCTCTGTTGCCAGGCTGGAGTGCAGTGGCACGATCTCAGCTCACTGCAACCTCCAACTCCCTGGTTCAAGGGATTCTCCTGCCTCAGCCTCCCGAGTAGCTAGGGTTAAGGGCACGTACCACCATACGCAGGTAATTTTTGTATTTTTAGTGGAGACGGGATTTCACCATGTTGGCCAGGATGGTCTCCATCTCTTGACCTCGTGATCCGCCCACCTTGGCCTCCCAAAGTGCCGGGATTACAGGCGTGAGCCACCGTGCCTGGCCTCTTTTGCGCTTTCTTTTACTTCTATTTGTTCTGTTTTTTGTTTTTTTTTGAGACAGAGTTTCACTCACGTTACCCAGGCTGGAGTGCAATGGCGCGATCTCGGCTCACCGCAACCTCCGCCTCCTGGGTTCAGGCAATTCTCCTGCCTCAGCCTCCTGAGTAGCTGGGATTACAGGCACGCACCACCATGCCCAGCTAATTTTTTGTATTTTTAGTAGAGACGGGGTTTCACCATGTTGACCAGGATGGTCTCGATCTCTTGACCTCGTGATCCACCCGCCTCGGCCTCCCAAAGTGCTAGGATTACAGGCTTGAGCCACCTCGCCCGGCCCTGTTCTGTTTTTTTGTTAATCTTATTTAACACAGGAAAACAAAGCGGAGCTGATTTCACTGTCTGCCTTTGCAGCCAGCTCATGGCACCGACGCCCCCTGGTGGCAGCCTGAACACTTCCCTTAGCTTAACTACTGAGTGTGTAGGAGTTCTACTTGTCATCTCCTGGTTTCCACCATGTATTGGTCTCACTGCCAAGAAGCTGAGCTCCAGCTCCAGGATCCGTCAATGAGATACCAACATGCTCTTCTAGCTCTTGGCAGGAGTATTTGGCAGAGAGAAACTGAAGCAGTGAGATAAATTCCATTTTTACATATTAAGCTAGACTATCATTTTTTATACCCTATTGGGTAAGTCCAAGCCAATGTCTGGCTGTCATCCACTGATAGCTGATGACAAAAAGCTGATAGTCTCTGAGGGAAAACTCCACCTTCTAGTCATTAATATGGTAAGAAGACAGCAATGATATGGAGCTTGTTATCTGAGAATGCTGGCTTCCTGAGTCACTGCTTAGAATTCCTGACTGACAACAAACAGTTCATATCTCCTCAGACGATAGAAAAATCACTTCTGCTTACATACTTTAAGACAACAATTATTTCCTGGGCCAAAAAGGCCAAGCAAACAAGAGTCTGTGATTGAGATGGTATCATTGAACCCCATGTTCTCAACAGATAAATGCTCATCCAGAACAAATAGCAAAACAAATAGTTGGAAGAGAGAAGTATTTAAAATCTAAAATCACACATACAAAAAAGTACTTACTAAGATATGTATCCAAAGGTATACAATTCTTCAGATCATCTGTAGGTGACAGAAGCTCACAAATACTTTCAGCTGTGTGGTCTTCAGGGAATTTGTTCTGGTCTCCACATTTTTTAAGAATCTCCACACAATCTGATCTTGAAAAGAAAAATGCACATAAATTTAGCGCTTGAGGAACTCCTCATGTTGTCTAGTCAGCATCACTTGTTTCTGAAGCTTTCCAGAAAGTGAGTTTTTATAACTTAACATGTTTCATAATTGGTTAAGTATGGCAAAAAAAGAACAGGAGTCACAGTAGATCTCAGGTTGAATAATAAATTCAAAGCATCCCAAACTTTCTCTTGTCTGAGACCAAGGCCCTTACTCAAATTGTATACTTCTTCGTACTGTTACTACCAGTAATGTGGCTTTTCAGTATCTTTGAAAGGAATTAAATGAAGCTAGTCTGATTTACTCTCTGCAAAAATCATATATCCTCACTTCCAGGACCTTATGCTTGCTTGTTTGCTTGCTTGCCTCCTTTCTCCTTCCCTTCCTTGTCTTTTCTTTTCTTTTTTTTTTTTTTGAGACGGAGTTTCGCTCTTGTTGCCCAGGCTGGAGTGCAAAGGCGCGATCTCGGCTCACCGCAACCTCCGCCTCCTGGGTTCAGGCAATTCTCCTGCCTCAGCCTGCTGAGTAGCTGGGATTACAGGCATGCGCCACCATGCCCAGCTGATTTTTTGTATTTTTAGTAGAGACGGGGTTTCACCATGTTGACCAGGATGGTCTCGATCTCTTGACCTCGTGATCCACCCGCCTCAGCCTCCCAAAGTGCTGGGATTACAGGCGTGAGCCACCGCGCCCGGCCCCCTTGTCTTAAGTCTCTTTTTAGTTATCAAATTAGTGCCTGGCCTATAACAACTGGAAAGTCCACTACTTTAAAATGTTCTTAGTCTTCAATAGGGATGTGACACCTACAAGTTTTCTGTGCTAAGAGTCTACATGTTCCCCTCTTGTTGCCTGATTCTTGTCACCTAATTGTTATACCTCAGTATTTCCCCTATCAGGTTATCCTCAAGCCACGTCAGATAATCAGGTTATCCGCAAGCCATGTCCCCTATCAGGTTATCCCCAAGCCATGTCAGACTGGACTCTGTTTAAGATTGAAATTAATAAGGTACAGAGCAGCACTGAGCCACTCAGGGGCTAGATATTAACTTGGTTTTAGAAAACTTTTGGAAAAAAAGATATGTGAAGAACAATGGGCAGATTACTATGTGTTAAATGCTTTTGGTTTCACCCACTATAGCAGCTCCTATCTTTACTTGATCCTAGATTTCCTAAGCAAACCATTCAAAAATGTTTACTAGAGGCCGGGCTCAGTGGCTCATGCCTGTAATGCCAGCACTTTAGGAGGCTGAGGTGGGTGGATCACAAGGTCAGGAGATAAGATCATCCTGGCTAACACGGTGAAACCCCGTCTCTACTAAAAATACAAAAAATTAGCTGGGCGTGGTGGCACGTGCCTGTAGTCCTAGCTACTTGGGAGGCTGAGGCAGGAGAATCACTTGGAGCTGGGAGGAGGAGGTTGCAGTGAGCCGAGATCCCGCCACTTCTCTCCAGCCTGGGTGACAGAGCGAGACTCCATTTCAAAAAAAAAAAAAAAAGCTTACTAGAAACAGGCCTTAATGACTGCATTCACTAACTCGTTTACTCAGCAAGCATTTAGGGAATACCTACTGTGTGTCAGGATTATGCTAATACCTGAAGAGGAGAAAAAGAGGAAAGGGGATACACAAAAAATGGCTCAAGGAAGAAGTTCTTTTTTTTTTTTTTTTTTTTTTGAGATGGAGTCTTGCTTTGTCACCTAGGCTGGAGTGCAGTGTCGTGATCCTGGGCTCCAGCAATTCTCCTGCCTCAGCCTCCCTAGTAAGTGGAATTTCCGGTGTCCACCAACTAATATTTATATTTTTAGTAGAGATGGGGTTTCACCATGTTGGCCAGGCTAGTCTCGAACTCCTGACCTCAAGTGATCCACCTGCCTTGGCCTCCCAAAGTGCTGGGATTATAGGTGTGAGCCACCATGACTGGCCAGATAAGCTCCTTAAGAAGAGCAAAGTCTAACAGAATATAAGACAAGTACACAAATTAAAATATAAAAATAGAGTTGTGCATCAGAGGTATTTAATAAATGTTTCATGTACTAAGTTCCATAAGAGAAGTACAAATAAAGGTCTATAGGAATCTGCAGTAAGGATAAATTACTTTCAGCTGGAGAAATCTGGGAAGACTGTACAGAAATGTCTGCTATTTCAGAGGAGACATAGGCAGTGGGTGGGTGATGAGGGGAGCAGTATTTCCACTAGAGGAGGAAAAAGTGGGAAAGCATTTGACATATGGGGGTGACAGGCAAAGGAAGTGGTGGGAGAGGCTCTGGCTAGAGATTATGGAGGGTCTGAACCAGAATGGGAGAATCATTAGGATGAAAGACACTTACTTGCAAATAATACTTCCCCGGGATTTACTATGACAAGGTTTAATCTGCAGTGAACAAGCTATTGCTTTCCACATCTCTGGCTGGCACTTTTTAATATCGAGAACAGGTATATTGATAAATGGCATCTTTATGCTTCCTTTCTCCCACAACTTCATGTCATTCATGGCTCCTTGATCTGACTGTGCATTACAACTCCTGAAAAGTTCTGTTGGCCTAAAGAGAAAAAAGGCCAGAAAGAATCAAGAGGCAATTATTTTCTAGAGAGAAGCAATGAGTAAAATCCTGACACAGTAATGCATCAGAAAAGTCTAGTTTTCTTAAAGAAGAAAGCACATACAACCCATGAAAGGATATCAGCTTCAACTGTATGAAGATTCAATGTAGATACCAGCATTCAACTCTGATTGCATGTTTTCTTTTTAACAGATTCTTGTGAGGCAGTTTAAAACTTCACAATGCTCCAAACAAGACTATTATCCCCAGACTGTCCCATTTCATCTCATAAATAAATATTATGAGGCCAACTTTTAAAAATGGCAAGGTAATTTACAAATCAAAATGCACCGATTTTATGGGTACAGCTTGATGTGCTTTGACGAATGTGTACATCCATAAGCACATCTAAATCAGTTAAGGAACACATCCAACATTTCAGCCAGTTCCCTTGTATCCCTGTTGAGTTAATGCCTCTCTGCTGACTGCAACTCAGGGGCCATCACTATTTATACTTATATCACCATAGATGAATTTTGCCTGCGCTAGGCTGGGTACAGTGGCTCACACCTGCAATCCCAGCATTTTGGAAGGCCAAGTTGGGAAGATAGCTTGAGCTCAGGAGTTTGAGACCAGTCTGGGCAACATAAAGAGATTTCGTCTCCATTAAAAAAAAAAAAAAAAAAAAATAGCTGATGTGGTGGCATGCCTCTAATTCCAGCTGCTTAGGAGGCTGAGGCAGGAGGATTGCTTGAGCCCAGGAGCTCAAGGCCAGCCTGGGCAATATAGCAATACCCTATCTTGAAAAAAATTTAAGCAGATTTTAAAGTAATTATTAAGTTATTTAAAATTATAACAAACCCATTACATGTTAATATAAATATTACTCTTATGAAAAATAACTATTTTCCAAAATAAACATTAGTGAGAACAGTAGGACTACTTTACAGTTTTGCAAATACTCAGGTAGATTTTCATATCTGCTTCTGAATTCAATCTGTTGCTGTACCACGTTTTACAGTGACTGGAAACCTCCACTGTTTTGTTGTTGTTTTTGAGACAGGTTCTTACTCTGTCACCCAGGTTGGAGTGCAGTGGCATGATCAGCCATCACCTCCTGGGCTCAGGTGATCTTCCCACCTCAGCCTCCCGAGTAGCTGGGACTATCGGCACCCACCACCACACCTGGTTAATTTTTGTATTTTCTGTAAAGACAAGGTTTTGACATGCTGCCCAGGCTGGTCTCGAACTCCTGGGCCCAAATGATCCGCTCACCTGAGCCTCCCAAAGTGCTGGGATTATGGACGTGAGCCATTGCGCCTGGCCTAGAACATTTTCATCACTCTATAAAGTACCATTGTGCCCCACTCTAGTCAATCCTTGCTTCCAGCAGAGGAAAGGATATCCTGATCTTTATCACCATAGATTACATTTGCCTATTCTTGGATCTCATGCGTCAAGAATGTATTCTGTGTCGGGTTTTTTTTTGCTCAATATAAGAGTCATCCATTGCTATCCCATTGTTTGGAAGCACCACATGTTATATATATTCTTTCATTCTCCTGTTAGATGTTTTGGGTCCTCTCTTCCATTTTTTGGGCTATTATGAATAAGGGTACTAGATAAGCCTTTCTTTGGACATATTTTTTCATGTCTCTTAAGTAAATGCTTTAGGATAAAATTGTTAGGTCATAGATCTAACTTTTGAAGAAACTGAAAAAAAGCTCCAAAGTCCTTCAACTATCTTCTACTCCCAGTAGTAACATACTATGAGAATTCCACTTGCTTCATATGCTTGCCAGTCTTTTAATTTCAGGCATTCTTGTGAGGGTGAGGAGGCATCGAATTGCTATTTTAATTTGTATTTTGCCATGACTAATAATAATGAACCCTTTAATGTACTAGATGGCTATTTCTTTAAAAAAATTTTTTTAATAGACAAAAATTATATATTTATTGTGTGTAACATATAGTATGTTTAAATATATATACATGTGGAATGGTTAAGCTAATTACAATATGCATTACCTTACATACTTATCATTTTTTTGTATGGAGAACATTTAACAGCTACTCTTTCGGCAACTTTCAAGTATACAATTCACTGTTAACTATAGTTACCACGTTGTGTATAATAGATTTCTTTAACTCATCCCTCTTGTCTAAATAAAATTTTGTGTCCTTTGACCAGCATTTTCCCAATCCTCTCCCCCTGCTTCCCTCTCCTCCTCCTGCACCACCCTCTCCAGCTACTCTCTGGTAACCACTATTCTATTCTCTGCTTCCATGAGTTTGATTTTTTTTAAGATTTCACATGTAAGTGAGATCATGCAGTATTTGTCTTTCTGTGCCTGGCTTATTTTACTTAGTGTCCTCCAGGTTCATTCATGTTGTTGTAAAAGACAGCATTTCCTTCTTTATAAAGGCTGAATAGGATTCCACAGTGTATATATACCACATGTTCTTTATCCAATCATTCATTGATGGATACAGGTTGATTCCATATCTTGGCTATTGTAAATAATGCTGCAGTGAACATGGAAGTGAATATCTCTTCAACATGCTGATTTCCTTTCCTTTAGATATATTACCTAGTAGCGGAATTGCTGGATCATATGGTATCTTCTATCTTAAATTTTTTGAGGACCCTCCATATTGTTTCTCATAATGGCTGCACTAACTCAATATCAACAGTGAACAAGACTTCCCTTTTCTCCATATCCTTGCTAACAATTGTTATCTTCCATCTTTTTTATAATAGCCATTTTAACAGATGTGAAGGGATAGCTCATTGTGGTTTTAATTTGTATTTCCCTGATAATTAGTGATGTAGAACATGTTTTCACATATTTGATTAAATGGCCATTTTGATATACTACTTTGTCTTTGAAAGTTTTTTGCATAATTTAAAAATTAGGTTGTTGTACTTTTTATCCTGAGGTTGTAGGAGTTGTTTATATATTCTGGATACAATTTCTTTGACAAATGTGTGTGTGTGTGTGTGTGTGTGTGTGTGTGTGTGTGTGTATGCACGCACCTGTGCACAATACGTTGAATATTCCATCACAGTCTATGACTTGCCCCTTCGAGTTTTAAATGATATCTTTTGGAAAACACAGGTTTTTACTGTTGAAGTCTAATTAATTTTTTCCTTTAAAATTGTATATTTTGTGTCCTGTCTGCTAAAGCTCTGCCCATACCGAGTCTGTGAAGATGTTCTCCTATGAGCTTTATATATTTAGCTTGTATGTTTAGTTCTATAATCCATCTTGTTTTTGTTTGTTTGTTGGCTTTTTCTATGATCCATCTTGAAGCAATTTTTGTGTATGGAGTGAGACACAGGTTGAGGTTCTCTTTTTTCCCTCTTCATAAAGATATTCAATTATTCTAGTATTATTTGTTGAAAATATGTTTCTCTTTTTTTTTGTTTTTTGAGATGGCATTTTTGCTTTGTTGCCCAGGCTGGAGTGCGGTGGCACAATCTTGGCTCACTGCAACCTCTGCCTCCTGGGTCCATGCAATTCTTCTGCCTCAGCCTCCCGAGTACCTGGGATTACAGGCACCCACCACCATGCCTGGCAAGTGTTTGTATTTTTAGTATAGAGGAGGTTTCAGCATGTTAGCCAGGCTGGTCTTGAACTCTTGACCACAGGTCATCTAGCTCTGCCTCCCAAAATGCTAGGATTATAGGCATGAGTCACCATGGCTGGACTTTTTTTTTTTTTTTTTTGAGACAGGGTCTCACTTGTCACCCAGGTTGGAGTGCAGTGGCATGATCTTGGCTCACAGCAGACTCCACCTCCCAGGCTCAAGCTGTCCTCCCCACTCAGCCTCCTGAGCAGCTGGAACTACAGGCACACACCAACATGCCAAGCTAGTTTTTTGTATTTTTGATAGAGATGGTGTACTGCCATGTTGCCCAGGCTGGTCTGGAACTCCTGAGCTCAGGCATTCCAACTGCCTCAGCCTCCCAAACTGCTGGGATTAGGTGTGAACCATCATGCCTGGCTGAAAAGATGTTTGTTTTTGCATTGAATTGCCTTGATGCTCTTGTTGAAAATCAATTTAATACACTTGAATTGAATTTCCTAATCTTTTATTGAGGATTTTGGCATTTCTGAATGACATAGGACTATAGTTATCTTGTTGTTTTTTTTTTTACAGAGAGAGAGTTTCACCATGTTGGCCAGGATGGTCTTGATCTCCTGACCTCGTGATCCACCCACCTTGGTCTCCCAAAGCGCTGGGATTACAAGCGTGAGCCACCATGCCTGGCCTAGTTATCTTGTTTTTAATGTCCATGTTGGTTTTTGTATCAGGTAACGGTGGCCTCATCAGAGGAACTGGAATGTTATCTGTTTCCTGAAAAATTCTGTGTAATATTTGCATAATTTTTCCCTTAATGTGTTTGGCAAGCATTACCGGTAAAGCCAGAAGTTTCCTGTGTGTGAACCTTTATAATTACAAATTCAATTTCTCTAATAGTTATACGAATAATCCTAATTTTCATTTCTTCTTACATTAGTTTTCCTTTTTAAGGAATGCATCAATTTCATCTAAATTGGAGGATTTACTGGCATAAAGTTGTTCATAGTATTCCTTTTATTTTTTGAGACAGAGTCTTGCTCTGTTGCCCAGGCTGGAGTGTGGTGGTTGCGATCTTGGCTTACTGCAACCTCCGCCTCCTGGGTTCAAGCGATTCTTGTGCCACAGCCTCCTGAGCAGCTGGGATCACAGGTGTGTGCCACCATGCCTGGCTATTTTTGCATTTTTAGTAGAGACAGGGTTTCGTCATGTTGGCCAGGCTGGTCTTGAACTCCTGGCCTCCAGTGATCTACCTGCCTTGGCTTTCCAAAGTGCTGGGATTATAGGTTTAAGCCACCATGCCCAGCCAGTATTCCTTATTATCCTCTTAATGTCCTCAAAATCTATAGTGATATCCTTAATCCTGATATTATTGGTAATTTTTATGTATGTATGTATCTATTGTTTAAACAGTC